CAAATGTGAATACATTGTGCAGAGTGTGAGAGTAACTGGCATTAGTGTTTTGTTTGAAAAAGAATTTTAAAAAATTAATTGGAAACCTAATCCAATGCCCATGAAATCCATTCTTCATCAAAGCAAGAAGAAACCCTTTGTTTGCTGGATAATTAAAGTCTGAGTTGTACTTTTTTGTTTTTTTAAAGTCAATGGGATTTCTTTGATAATATAAGTAATGAATTGTCGGTATTTTAATTTTTTTTTTTTTTTTGCGTAACTTGAATAGCAACATAGCACTGTCTTTATGAGCACCCCTTTATATATTTTAATGGCAAGATGGACAAGTTAGGACCTCCACTGCAAACTGGAAGAGATGTGCAAAGGTTTTATGACGCTGATACAAAAACAGACAGTACTGTCTAGAGGCCAAATGAGTTGTTGTCTGTAAAGAAGTAAGTATTGCAAATCAGTGTGGTTTATCTATTTTGCAAAAGTGTTTTTCCTAAGCAGAAAAGTGTGCCCTTGATGAACATCAGCTGCCCAATATGTCTTCCATATAAATGCTGTGGGAGAAGAGTAGATGATATAATTAGTATCAGAGTGAAGTAAATAGCTTCATAGGACAGTGAAGATGACTGTTTCCCTCAGATTTGATTTCTTCTGTCAGTGCTTGATTACAGATTAAAAGTTACAAATTTGTGTCTTGATTACAAATTAAAAGTAATGACCTTAAGCATTTCTAAAATAAAACCCAAGATAAAACTTTTTTGCATGATGCAAATCTGAAGTAAGCATTTAAGCCTGGTAACTGTACTGGTTTTTGACAAAGTAATTTTATTCTCTTAAGGTCAAATATTACTCTAACTCCTATATCTGTAAGGTAACTTTGATGGTCCAAAAACGTGAGGAAGGCAGACTTTATAATGAAAGACAAAATATTTGTAATGGAAGGTCAAGTCCAATTTACCTTATATAAAGACTTCTGGGTATTCAGAAGTCTTTATTAGATCTAAGTTTGGAAGGAAGGTTATTCCAATTATTTTAATAATTTTAAAAAGGAATTAGATACTAAATTATAGTTAAGCCTTTGTTATATTTTGGAAGATGCCAAATTCAAATAGGCTGCTTTTTCATATTGTAAAAAAGAAAGTAATCAATTATGTGGCACATACATGGACTATGTATTGCTTTACATAGTAGAAATGTGCCTGAATCTCTTAATGCTGTAACCAAAGCTGTAGTATCTTTGAGACAGGGACAGAATATTTGACTTTGGTTTTGAAGAAGCAAAAGCAATGAAAGGAATGGGAGGTTTTCTTAGACAAACAGAAATTCTTTTATTTGTTCCTTTGCATGTTTGGTTAGAGCTATAAATCCTGTCAACCATCAAAAATTAGCACAGTTTTTCATTTTGTAATGCATTATTAAGATGTTGGAAATTTAGCTTAGTGAGTTACTACAATTGCTTAAAATAGGCCCTATCCATAGACCAGTGATTTGATTATTCTTCTCAAGAAAAATTCTTTAAAAGTACCGGCACTTCTGTTCTTTGTTCAATCCCTGTTGTTCTTACTCAAGTATCTACTGAGCTCAAGAATTACTACTGCCTTACTTGCAGTAGGTTATTCAGTATATTGCATGCCAAGAGCTTTCAGCAAGTGTGAGTAATTCCTAACTATTCTTAAATTCAGCATAACAGTGTGGGTGGTTGCAGTTTATGGCAAAGGTTTCTGGACTTTGGGATACATGCCATTAGTCAGCAGAAAATTATTTATGACTTTGCACAGAACTATGAGTTGCTGTGAGTAACAGTGACAGCTGTCAAGAATATCTGAAGACACTCTTAAGAAGCAAGACTTATATATCAGTGTTTTATGATAGATTTCATCAAATCATGAATAATGTGTGCATAGAAAAAGACAAGCTTCTTTAACAAACTTCTTTCAGATCTTTATTTTGCAAGCTGTGGTAATTCAACTAGATGTACAACATGAACTGCTTTAGGAAGGGAAGTCACTTTCAGTCTTACTTCTTTTAAAATAGAGTGGATAGTAAGTTTCTTTACAGTATGTCTGGATTTTTAGGGTTCCAGCTGGTATTGGTACACCTCATCTTCTGTCAGTCTCTATTCATAGTTCATGTGATACATCGTAGAGCAGGGATTTATATAGCTTTTCAAAAGTAAAATGCAAAATCCAACCAAACAGGAAAAACAACAGAAGCGGACAGGTATATAGAAGAGGCAGAGATGGGGCAGATCAGAAGAAACCAAGCTGTGGTGGCACAAGTTGAAATAACCAAAAATATGTGACTTTGTTGGAGGGCATCTGTCTCTAGAGATCAGATTTCTACTTTAGGATGCAATTTCAAGATTTGTCACCAAACATACATGAAACCTGATGCTAGCTGTGTATCTAGATCCAGGCTGAATAAAGTTGTGGACAGTGGCAGCCTACTCCTTGTGTTGATTTACCCATCAAAAATGTCAGAAATCACAGAGTGGGTAAGATGGGAAGAGAAGTTTCTGGTCTGAAAATATTCTGTATTTTTGGACAACTCATTGTGGAAAAAGACTGCAGAAATTATTAAGAAAGCTATGTTTAAACATCTTGGAATTAAGATGCCCTGTTAAACCTTTAATGAGTGATGTTTTATCTGTTCATGAGACTTTGCCTCCTTTGATACACAGGGTGGACTGTGCACTTTGAATGTGGCTTTTCAGTACTTTGAATTTCCTCCCCTCCTCAGCTCAGTCAGTGGCCTGAATGCTGTATTGAAACACTAATTTCTCTGAAATATCTTTAGTATACACTTAGTACTAAAGCACCACATGAATTTTCAGAGTATTTAGTGAGTTGAGGGTGTATGATACAGTTGAAATACAAGGAAGAACAGTGGACTGATTTTAATATCAATTTATTTCAAATATCCAGGACTTTTAACACGATGTTCAAAACTGATTCAAAGTACACTCTGAAGAGACTTCAATATAAGAAATTAATGCTGTTAGTTTTGAAAAAGTAGCATATTGGTCCCAAGGTGAAAATCCATAGAAAACTTGAGTCAGTAATAATTTTGAATATTTTTTTTAATTACTTGGAGCTATCTAAACAGGAATGAGGCACAATTCTATTTTTAGCTTCATTGCCTGATCAGCCCTGATCTGTGATGAACCCATAATGTTTCTTTGTGTGCAGCTGAATTTTTCTTTATATGCTTTTCTGTCTTTCTTAACAGGTAAAGTAACAGTCCCGTATGTTCTTTTTACTGTAGAGCTCAATTATAAGTAAAGGTCACTCTTTGTTGTATAATGAGATTGAGAAAATAGCACAAGATGAATATGTAGCATCTGTACATCATAGCAATACAATTTAGCTTACATTTAGAACTTTTATTCTAGAATTATGTAACTTCAAAAGGCTGCCATAACTTCCAGTAAGTTTTAATTCTCATATAACTGATGTAGTGCTTTTCAGTGTGCACAGTATTTTTTTTCAATTAAGTCCATCTTTAGAATCTGCTTGCAAAATAAGGGGGCAGACAGGAAAACTAATGGAGAAGGTTAGTATTCAGTCCAGTGAACCATAATCTTTGATCATCCCACTTTACTTTTTTTTTTCAAGTAGAAGCCATTCTTGTTAAACCTGTATACTTCAGTTAGATATGATTTCAATTTATTTAATATTAAATTTAGTTGCTGATTTCCACCTTTGTGCTTAATTATTTGATCACTTTCCCACTGGTTGAAGTGATAGAAGGAGCTGAGAAGCTGTCTTTATTCCACATGCATAACATGAAGGGAGAAATGTTTTATGCAGCATATATATAATTCAGGAGTTATTACGTGTTCCTCAGTTGTGTAAGTGTTGCATTTGAAGTTACTGGAGTTGAATGCATTTCCTTATATGTGGTTTGAAAACCAAAGACAAGAGAGTTTATAATCTTAAAAGATCAGTTAGGTTTATCTGAAGGGAACTATGGTCTCTTGGTGACTAATTTTTTCAACTGTCTTGTTTTAATTTTTTTTAATGTCCTTGAATGAGCCCCAGTTTAAGCTTCATTTATGCATTGGTGTTCAAGAATGAGAACAGAAAAACTTGGTCATGCACAAGATGTCATAATCTGAAGATTTACCAAAGAGTAAGAAATCCCAGTGAATGGTAATTCTTTTGAGCAATAATGAAAACTTCTGTCCTTGATCATTAATGATAAAACTATGCCCCTTCCAATTTATTTTTCTTAGTGCTACTCAGATTTTTCAGGGGATTCTGATGTTTCTCTACTCATCAAAGCCAGCAGCAAGATGTTCTCAATGTTTGGGATGTGCTGATTATTTTCTACTGGCTTCTCATAGTACTCCTAAGTCCTGAGGCAGTTTCCATATCTGTGTCGTCATACTATTGACCCCAACTTGAAGAACGCTGTGACAGTTCAGAAAGAATTGAGGCCCTAATGCCCACCTGGATGCACTTTTTCTTCTCCTTCTATTTATATTTATATTCATAAATATAACTGTGCTTTGAAGAAAAAGGATTTACAGCATTATATAAGAAGAAAAGGTCTTATACTTACTTCATATTAGTCACAAAGTGTTGAAAATATTGTATCCTTTCTACAGATCTTAGACTATTAAAGTCATCTGCCCTCTATTTTCCTGAAAGACCTGCCAGTCCTAAAAAGTGACTTAAAATTTGTCAAGCTAGACATTAGAATGTGCTGAGCAGCCAATAATGCAGGATCTACCTGTTAGGAAGTGAGACATGAGCTGGAAGGGACTTGCTGTTTCATTTAATTTGTCATTGTAAGGTTCAAGTCATAACAGTTCAAACCATGCAAGTTTGTGCCAAAGCTCCTCTGGCTGCTGTTGGTAGGAAATGAGTTATTTTTCATACAGTTAACTAATGTGTAAATTTGTGCATTTTTATATGTGTGTGTGTATATATATAATTTGAAAATGCATATTCTTGTATGTATTTCTCTGTGTGTGTATAAATCATCAGATGTTTCTTCTATTTTAGAAGTGCAACAAAAACCCGGACATCAACCCCTCCTAGTGTGGCAAGAGCCATGAGCACGGGTGCTTTAACAAACAGAAGAAAAACCAGCAATTCAGATATTTGCTTAAGGTAGCTTTTAACTTGGTGGATTTTGTCATTAATAGAGCCTTCATTAAAGGGGATTACTTACTACTAAAGAAGTTGGGGAATGTATTCTCTGCAGCTAATAGATAATATTATTTGGCTTGTATAAGATGCTCAATATATTTTGCATGTTTATGGCATACCTTTGTCATCAGCTGTCTCAGATATGCACAGAAGACCCTGTTGGAAATGTCAAAAAATGCATGGGAGCTGTTGAAAAAATAATCAAATACTATTTCACTAGAAACTTAATGATATTTACATGCTAAACACACAAATTGTCTTGGCCTTTTAAAGGGTAGGATGAAAATTTTATTGCTGGTTTAGCCTTTCTTTTTTTGACAAGGTAAGCTTTAAGTTTTCAAACACTCCAGTTTATCAAAGTAGTCAGTGAAACATTTCATCCTGCTTCTAGGATTCTGTGTTTTTTTGTTTTCTTGCAGGGAAGGTGGGTATCTGGAGATACATATCGGAGCCTGGGTAGCATTGTATATAAGATATACCAATGTAAATAGGAAGTGCAGGCATGAAAATCACAGTAACAGTTGCTATATTCATTGCAAGGATTAGACTAATTTTACATTTGTACTGGACTGACTCATGGAGAATGTTCTTCATTTGGGAATTTTCAGGTCTGATGGGAAAACTGGGTGTGACAGTGGAGACAGCCTATCCTCAGTCAATGGAGGAAGTGCAAAAAGCAGTGAAGGCATTTCACCTGTCCAGTTATCCAAGTTCTGCCATGAATGTGGAACAAAGTATCCAGTGGAATGGGCTAAGTTCTGCTGTGAGTGTGGAATTCGAAGAATGGTTGTGTGAACACATTCTTTAAAGCAGAAAGAAAACAAGAAATTGGAACATCTGCTATGTACTGTTGCATGGAAAGCTTGAGCACTCCATCCAGTAAGACTTCATGCTGCAAAGATCGAAACATCATTTTGTAATTTTCTGAGTGCAATCTTCTGGTTACACAGTTATTTATAAACAATGATATATACTGTATATAAAAATAGCAGCTACCTAAAAACTGTGCCATTCAAGGAAATACTCTTTACTCTTTGTTGAAAATATTTAAAATTATGGTAAAAATGCATTAAGTAACCTAGGTAGCAGAAGAGGTTCAATGTTATGGGGTTTTTTTTTGTAAATTCTACTAGGAAAGGATTTTTTAAATCTCTTATGTAGAGTAATGCTTACCTGTAGGGAACTAGCCATGAACAACTTGGGCTTCAAAAGTTTCTCCATGGAGACATTTCCTTCATCTATGACAGTAACTTAGATGCTGTGTTCAGCATGAGACAACATGGTCAACTCCTTATAAATTCCTAGGAAAAAAATGTAAAAAGTTTGGATCTTTAAACTCTTTAACAGTAATATGCTAATTGGACTTTCCTGTTGCTTCCTAGAAATTTTTAAAGAATCTAAGTGGAAAGACTACCTGAGAATTCTCTTTGCATCTAAGATGAAAGGCTAGATTTTCTTTTTGTGGCTTTCCATGTTCTGTTTTTCAGTAAAAACATGTTAATACTTTTATGTATTTATAAGGACAAATGTGATATTAATTTTATTATTATTCCTTTTATTAAGTTCCTTTTGTTTCAAAATACTTGTCTTCCTCCTCCTGTGCTCCACCACAACTAGCATATCTAAAGCTGTTGTGCTTTCTTTTTGTTCTATATCTGAAGGTCCTCATTTCCTCGAGGAAATTCAAAGTCCATGCTTTTCCTACCTAAATGTTGAACTCTTATTTTGAAAACAGCCTTCTTGATGTATCCAATACCAAAAAAAAAAAAAAATAGTTCTATAAAAATGAATGCTATTAGAGCAATAGATCTTGATGTAAGTAGTGAGTCTTTTTTTATTCTCATTCCTGTGAAAATAGCATATGAATGCATAGGGGAGTAACTGTGCTTCTGTGCTTCACTGGTATTTGTGTCAATACCTGACTTTTTTTTTTTTTAATTTTGATCTCATAACAGTCTTTTGAAGTTAGTCATAGACATCACATTAATCCATTGGGAAGAAGGGAGAGACTCAAAGTTGTTGGGTATTTTACTAATTACACAGTAAGTTAATAAATTACACATTTGCTAATAAAACTACTCACAAGCCAAATCACTTAACTTGTATCTTAATGTAGTAATTTATTTTGTGAAGTCTTGCTTTGAAGTGCTTGCACCATCTTTGTTATGCGTGACAGAACAATCTGAAATAAGTTATCTGTGCCTTTCCCACAGTAAATATATTTTTTGTCAGAAACTGGTACTTTCAGCTCACAAACTTCATTAGTTTCAATTAATTCAATTTCTTTACAACTTATACAAAATATAATGTAGTGTTCCCTGATAGTATTATGGTTGTTGCTTGCATTCTCAAAAACTGCGATTATCAATCGGGCAAATCTGGAAGAAAGCGTGATTAAAGAAAAGCATCTTCAAAGCAGATACCAGTCTAAGAGAATGATTTAAGAGACTTGATGTAGTTATATTGCAGGCCACAAGCTGTTGATGTTTAAAATTCAGTTTAAATAACGTTCAGTGAATGTCTTGCACTTCTTTTAAATTTTTTTTTTTAGAAATTATTCTTCATTCAGTGTAGTCTTTTCATAACTGGTATAAACTGGCTACTGAGCATGATAGGATGGATGACTCTTAATGACACAGCTGACAAATCCTAGCCAGTTTATTTTCTAGGAATTTAGATTCTAGGATCTGTATTACTATTCACATTCGTGTCTGTATTTGGAAAAACTGGAATTCTGAATTCTTTCCATGGATAAGCATGTTTTGGAAAACTTGCCCTGGACTTGGGCCATGGAGGTCTGCAGACTGAAGTATTGTGAGCTGAGAGTCCATCAGCAAAGATACCAGTCCAGAATAAGTTTGATCAGATAGTGAATCTTCTTACCTGGTGAATTTGCAGTTGTTTCTGCTAGAAAATTCATTTTTCCACTTATTAAAAGTGCTTTCTACAAAGGGAATGTTTAGTATGGCACTAAATGTCTTTCAGGTTTTCTGGAGTTATTGTAACTGTGGGAAAAAACATGCTGACTCTTTCTCCTTTAAATTTTAAGTGGCAGATTTCCTAATTTCAAATCAATACTCGTACAGCTACTGTATTTTTCTGCTTTGTGAGCTGTTTATGAAATTCTTTGCTTTCAATTCTGCATTAAGTAAATTACTTGAGTAGCACATCATTTGTTTCATTTACACTCATGTGATTTTATCATGAGGATTAGATAGGGAATTAACCTGAACAGAAGGAAAGGATTTTAAAACTTTTAATTTGGCCCTACAAAGGAGGTCTGTAAAACTTAAGTGACTGTTGATAGTAACACTGGGTAATGTGTGTGTGTTGTAATCTACAGTAAATATAAGCAGACAGTGAAATGCTTTAACTGTGTAGTTTGGTGCTGTATGCTAACTTATGAGAGGCCCAGTATGTGTTGTGTTTATCAACTGGTTTTGTTACTGAATGACATAGGTTTCTGAAGTGTGTGATGTTACAGACCCTAGCCTGTGTTACTCAAGGTATCAGCACTGATCGTTGTAATTCCATCTCTGTGAATGTTTGTACAAAACTGGATTGGTTTCTGTAACATCCCTGAAGAACTGAATGTGGAAAACCAATTTGTTAAATTTAAAGAAAAAAAAAAATTCAGGGAGTTGGACAGAATTTTCAATCCTTAGTATATTACATGTGTCAAGAAGTTTCCAAATTTAATTTATTGGTGATCTACATCCAAACCCTCTTGCCCTAGTCTCCACGCCCTTATGGTTTTAATGGGAGGAAGAAACATGAACTATGCACTGTGTTTATAGCGAAATTTAGTGATGCAATTGTTGTAATGATTCCTATACCAATGTATAACCCTACAACAGATTTACTGTCTGCCATTCCATCTTCCTAATGTTCTTACTAAAGTTCTTCTATTCATTAAAAAATAGGGGGAAAGGAAAAGGTGAAAGTTAAAATTACATTTGAAGAAGCAAGGAAGAGGCTGGTTTTGATGTTTGGCTTGAGGAAGTTTGCATTCCCATTCTACTTTTGTGATTTTCTTTTATACAAAGGACCTCTCTGTGCCAGGAAGTGCAGGATTATCGGAGCTATGCTGATAGAAGTGCAATGGAGTTATGAAAAATGCTAGCTTCAATAGTCAGAACAGCATACCATAAAGCTTAATCTCTGTATGATGTACCTTACACAGGTTTGTATTTATGCATGATGCCTACACCCTAGGTAGTTTCAGAACTGGAATCTCTAAATATACAGTAATTAAAATATGTGTTTATATGGGTAATTAGTCCTACACAACACTGCAAGGAGGTGGGCACAGGGAGGTGCTTCACCCCCATTTCAGGTTGTAACTGAAATGAACATACAGGCAGAATTTTTCAGATATGCCAAAGAGACTCAAAGAGCCCTTGAACTCCCTGGAGGGAGTGGGAAAGCTCCACCTGAGAGTTCCCTGGTTGGGAGGATGTCAGGAAGGGGGAGCTCTCCATGGTGCTCTGGTGCTGAGCTGCAGTGCTGTGGCAGCGCCTGCTGCAGTGCAGCCACGCGTCCTGCGCCTTCACAGGGTGGGAACTGCAGATTGTGTTGTAACACCTGACCCAGCCTGTATGCAGCATGGAAGTTCTCTGTCATCTGCAAGGACTAGCTCCTAATTCACCATCACAGCTGAGAGCTGGTGCCTGAAATGCAGGGAGAGTGTTTCCATATTGCCTGCTTACTGAGTCAGTGGAAGGAGGTACAACTGCAGTACTTTAAATAAACAAGATATGTGCACACTGATGTAGACTGTAAATAGTCTGCATATAAAATTAAATGGTATTATCTATGTATTACAAAGGTCACAAGAAGAGCTAGTTTCCATCACATCAACTTTGTATATCTGCAAAGAACAAACCTGTTATGAGTGTTTTTAATCTTGGCTGAAAAATTTGTGTTTAGTAAGAGCACTTTTTTCAATTTTATTTCTATCCGGTTTGATTAAGCTATGAGTAGTTATATGGGTTGTATGAGAAGGTAGAATTTTCATCTTGGTAAAATTTGTTTTAGTGGCTCTGGTGAAAAAAGTTTTATTGCCTTTCAAGTACAGTTTATTCCAGCTTGTGATTGTTTTGTTGCTGGTTGGTTTGGTTGGTTTTTTTCCAACTTGCTAAGTAAGGTTTGAGTGACCTAGTTGTGTTGTATTGTTGGAAGAATTGTTAGGTAAAGGACTCCATTAGCTGAATTCAGTAGTTACTTGGTTAATATTTTGGTTCCAGTATTCACAGTATATAAGAGATTACTCTTGCATACTAGTTCATATATTGTTTTGTTTTGTGTTTGTTTTTTTGGTGTTATGTCAGTTCAGAATAATACATGTTTCTGGAGGATCCTATTTAGTCCCATTCCACTTCATCTTGCCAGAAAACAGCTTCTTCATATTTTCTCTTAATAAGTGTTTGTTCTTTACAAAAATAATCAGTAGGGAAATTATATTTCCCCAATTTGAACATTTGAGTCAGCAAATCAAATACTCAGTTTAATATAGCTGAGTATCTAAACAGAAACAGTTCTAAACAGAAGTGCATGGTTTACCATAGTTCTGTATTTCAATTTGTATTTCTGGCAGAACCATGAATGGATTTGGGTGGGATCTGTAAATTGCTGAGTACACTACAACTGTTACAAAGCCTACTTCATATGATTGCTCTAACTTTTGGTGTTCATCCTTCATTTGACACTTAATATGTTTCTCTTCATAAGTTTATTTATTAATGTTCTGTGTTTTTAAATGGTGTGTTCATTCATGTGTTGGAGGTGATTAATTATTTCAGCATTGCATTTATTATGTTTGCCTTGCCCCTTAGTACATGGAATATTTGTGACCATCCAGTGAGGTTTTTTTTTTGCCACAATTCCTCGGTTTGTTTGCCTCTTATTTTGTATATTATGTTTATTTTAAAGTTTCAATTCTGTTTTAATTAAATGTAAATCACCACCTAATGCTGATTTGCCACTTGTTAACAATAAAGCAAATATGCCAATAAAACTTCTTGTGATGCGCAAATTTTTGTAGTCAAATGTAAAATTATCTAATAGAACATACCGTACAGGTAGGTAATATGATTTCAGACATATGAATATTGTGATGTCTGATCTCAGGTACACAAAGAATAGGGCTTTTAAATTGAGCAAGATGAGATTTGGATTCCTAAATCACCTTGAAAAATATACCAGATATTTAAAGTAGCATGATCTGCTTATATGAAGTTAACTCTGTATCTCCTATTTCCCCAGCTATACTGAGAATTCAATTTATGTAGAGCCCATCACTGTGACGTCTGTAGTATTTCATTATTTTTTTTCTTAATAATAAAACTGTAAGGGATAATAAACTTGAGCTTGATCTGAGTTTGTTCTCCTTCATGACATTAGAACACTGTTTTGTTGATGAAATTATTAAGAAAAAAAACCCAGAAATTTATATTTTTCTTCAGAAGTTCATTGATGTGAGCAGAAATTACAATAAGGGTTTGGATTGCTGATTGTTGGGGTTTT